GTAGCCACAGATCCTAGGATTGTGCAGGGCACATAGTAGGCCAGGCCTGTGGCCTTTCTAAACCTTGCAGAGAAGTTGCAGTGGTCATGTTTTTCAAGAACTTACTAAGGAAGTGGAAAAGAAAGAACAAAGGAAAGGAAAAGAAGCAAAGCTTAGGATGGTGACAGCTTGAAAGAAGCTTAGGAAGGGARCAGCCTGGGCCCGGAGGTGCTGCAGATGTGCAGGGGGGTGGGGAAGGCCAGCCCCCAGTGCCCGCCTCTCCTGGGCTCTAGACCACCCGGGGGCCTCTGCCCCTCCCTCCCAGGGAGAGTGGCTGCCACGGGCCCCTCGGGCTGCCTGGGACATAGGTACCAGCGCAGGATGCGGGTGGGCCCCACCTGTGGCTCTGCACCCCAAAGGGCGCCCCTTGGAACCACTTGGCCGCATACATGGCGCTGGCGTGGCCGGGGCCGCGAGTCCTGCGGGCGCCTGGCTTCCACTGCTGGCAGCGCCCCCCGCCACTGCTGGGCGGGCTGGCGGCCGCCACCGCTGCCACGGCAACCCGGCCTTGTGATCCGCGGAGCCCCGGCCGCGTCGGTGCCCGCGTGGCGCCCTGCCGAGGAGCCCGTGCCGCCTCCTGGTGGTTTCATTTTGAGTTTTTCGACACCCCCTGGCCACAGCACCGTCCTAGGCCCCTGCAGATATAGGAGACCCAGCTGGTGTTGAAAGAGGGTGGCCGCCCCTGGGTGGGGCTTTAGAGTCACCCGCTGAGGAACTGTTKCTGATTTCTGCAGGGCTCCTCCAGGACAGGCGCGAACGTTCAGAGCCGCCTGTAGTTGACCCCTGCCGACAGGACCCTGAATCCCGCCAGAGGGCAGACGAGGGCAAAGTGCACCCCGTCTTCCCCAAGTGGGGGAGGRAAGGAGGAGAAGGGACAGTCAGGGAGGGCGGGGTAAGGCTGGACCGACAAGCGGAGGGATGCAGGGATGCTAGGTGATAAGGTACCTCCGGACACCCTGACAACCACTCTGGGCAGACACTGTGCAGAGTGCCCGGGACGCAAGTGTGGTCCCTGCCCTGAGTCTAGTGGGGAAAACAACGACCACCCAGTATGGTCAGGCCAAAGAGAGAGGAAGGCCTCAGATCCAACCTGTGGGTTGGCAGGTCAGGGAAGGCTTTTGGAGAAARTTCCAAACTTCACAATATTGAAGCATGTTTGACTTGTCAGTCCACAAAAAGAGTTGAAGGTGTGTCTACCCACAACAGGCACAGGTAAACCCTCTCTTCCTTTCTCCTACCTCACCTCCCACCTGTGTCCCTGGTTGTGCTAAGAGATTGTCTATTATCTTCTCCATAGTCACCTTTGAACCTCCCAAGGGCCTTAGGCAAGGACTTGGCAGAGATGTACACCCCATTCCAGGGTGACAAAAACAAAGCCCAAGAGAGGTAGGATGTGCATGCACCAGGTCCTGCATCCAGTCCCTGGCAAAATAAACGAGAGGCACAGTAGGTCTCCTTCCAGGCCCAAGCTGGTATTTAAATAAAGGTGGCCCTCAAGCACAGCCCACAGATGGACATTTGAGCTCCAGGCCTGGTGGGCACATGGCCACAGCTGGTAGAACTACACTGCTAGGCTGATAGTTAGAGGCAACAGGCCTCAGGAATACACCCAAAACTGARTTACCTGGGCTCAGCCTTTGCTCCTCCCCAGCAGTAGAACTTTAGGTAAGACACTTCCTTCTCTGTATTTCTGCATTCTTATCTGCAAAATGAAGCTGATAAATCTGTCTCTACAGGCTGCTATGAAAAATAAGTGACCTAATTTAGGTAACACTCCCAGTATACTGCAGGAGCTCAATAAGGTCATTCCCAGTTCTTGGAAAGAGATCTTGCAGAAGCCTCCATCTAACAGACAGACTATCTCATCCACTCCTGGCACAGTTCACATCACACAGTAAATGCTCAATAAATATCTGTTGAGTGACAAGTGAATGGATAAATGAACRTAGTCCAACTTCCCAAAGCACACAAATCCTCAGCAACTGACTGCTTCCTAGCTGGTGGCTTTAGGTAAAGTACCCTCACCAAGCTTCAATTTCTTCACCTGGGCAGGGACACAGGGCTGGCGCTTCCTGGAGCTGTTTGGAGGTGTCCAGGAGGTGTGTACACKGTCAAGCCCTGTGCACTGAGGACCTTCCACCAGCTGGGGTCTGTTCACATGTGCTCACAGAGGCACAGACCTGCCCRCAGAGGCGCTGCAGCTTCTCTTTGGGCCTGATCCCTGTGGTTCAGGGACTCATGGAGTGGTGACAGAAGAGGAAAGCCAAGGTGCACTGGGCTGGGAGTCCCCCTGCCAGGCAAGCCAGAACAGACAGGTTGAGTCAGCTCTTCAGCAAGACGGCCTGCCGGAGGCAACCCCCTGCATCCCCAGCACAGCAACTTCCCTATCCAACAACTAACTCATTCCCTCCTGTAGGCACTATTCTAACATCACCCGACTCTTACTGTACAGAAAAGGAAACTAAAGCTCAAACCGAGAATAAATTGTCCTGGTCATATCTGGTCAATTATATACGTCACATAGCGGACATGGGTCTCTAGGACATTTGAGAGCTTCCTGGCTGCAAGGCTTAACCACCCAGACCTGGGAGCCCTGTGTCCTGTCACTGGATGTAACCCAGCCTTCCAGGCAGGACTGAGGGTTCTGAGTGGGCTTTGACTGCTGCCTTTGGTCCTCATTTCCTATCACCTCTTCCCCAGGTTCTATGAGGTACAGCCACTGGGGCTGTTCTGTCCCTAGGACACACAAGGCACAAGAGGAACCTCTGACATTTTCAAACGTTTTCTGCTTCTAAAAACACACACAACTAACCTCCTTCTCCTCCCAACTCCTACTCATCATCTCAAAGTCAGATCAAAAGCTGAGCCCACCCATCAGGATGGTTATTAGAAAAAGAAATAGAACAAGACACATGTGGGCAAGGATGTTGAGAAATTGGAACTTTTGTGCATTGCTGGGGTGGAGAAAACAAAAGATGCAGCTGCTTTGAAAACCAGCATGGGATACTCTCAAATAATTAAACATAGAATTACCATATGATCCAGCAATTCCATTTCTAGGTATATACCCAGAAGAATTAAAGGCAGGAACCCAAATGTCTATTTGTATAATACACCTCTGTTCAAAGCAGCATTGACCACAATAACCATAAGGTAGAAGCAACTCAAGTGTATACCAACAGATGAATGGCTCAACAAAGTGTGTCATATACAGACAATGGACTATTACTCAGCCTTGAAAAGGAAGGAAATTCTGACTCATGCATTATGCTAAGTGATCTAAGCCAAACAAAAAAGAACAAATATTGTACAATTCTACCTACATGAAGTACTAGGATGGTCAAATGCATAGAATGTGGGGACCCAGGCACTGGGGGAAGGAGGGAATGGGGGTATTGTTTAATGGATAAGGAGTTTCAACTTGGGGAGATGAAAAAGTTCCAGAGATGAAAGGATGATGGCTGCACAATGATAAGAGAGAAGTTTTTTTTAATATTTATTTTTTAGTATCGGCAGACACAACATCTTTGTTTGTATGTGGTGCTGAGGATCGAACCCGGGCCGCACGCATGCCAGGCGAGCGCGCTACCGCTTGAGCCACATCTCCAGCCCCACTGCACAATSATGTGAATGTACTTAATGACCTTGAACTATACCCTTAAATGATAAATTTTATGTTAAGTATATGTTGCCACAATTTAAAAAAAAAGCTAAACCCTCTGGGAATCCATCTCTGATACCCAAGCAGTTGAAATAAGATTCATCTTATGATTGCCAGAAATTTATAGTAACAACTCCTTACTAAAAAGTATTAAATGTACTAAATACAATACCTAAAAATCAACAGGTTAAAAAATTGTACCAAAATCTTGATTTGATTTACCTTTCTATTGCCAAGGCCAAATATGTCCCCTAACTTCACTGAACTGGCTATATTTCCTCTTTTGAGAAGACTGGTGTATTTTTCAAGAAGATGAGGCAGCAGCTGGTGGTGGGAGCCCAGTCTCAGGTGGAATGAGGAGGGATCCAAAGTCCAGACCTGAGTCTGTAAGACTCAGCCTCTAGAAGACTCCACCCTGCAGCAGGGAGCACCACTGCCCGGCCTGCAGGCTAGAGGTCAGGGGATCTCTCCAATCCTGAGAGGAAGACTGGCCAGAGCAAGAAAATTAGGGCCATAGGTGGGGTGCAGGACAGGATTGGGGCCAAGGGGAAAGAATAGAACAGAGTTTTATCCAGAGAGGCCAAGTATCAGGTTTACCTCCTCTGGTAACTCCCTGCCCCTGGGGTAGAAACTGTCATCCTCATGTCACAGAGAAGGAAAGTAGAAAGAATGACCAATGATGTGTTATTAGGGTTGGAGAAATGGGATTAGAACCAGCACATGGAAGCCATAGTCTTTCCACAGGGGCCACTGCTGAGCAGAGAGCAGGCAGAGAAAGCCCAAGGGTGAATAGTGGCCAAAGGAAGAGAGGAGGGAGGTGGCAGGCTCTATAGAGAGGAAGAGCACAGAGGAACTGCAGAAAGGATGGGACAGCATCAGAACCCAGGGTGGCTTCCGCAGTTGGAAGGGCCGTCCTGACAGCTCAGCTCACACAGGGAGGGCGGAGCAGCGCCCCCGGAAGAAAGGCTAGGCCAGCCTTGGGCAAACTGGGTTCCAGGCCTCTTTGGGCACGCCCCACTTCTGTGACCTGGGCAAGTCCTTCTCCTCCTCTCAGCTTGTTTCCTTTTCTGCTGGGTAAAAAGTGAGAATCTGCCTTTTGCCTCCCACCAGGGTTTGCGCGCCCCGCATTTGGYGATGCACCTGTTTTTCTGGCACACCTGGTTGTGCAATGCCGACGTCTAGCTGAGCAGCGAAAGCGGAAACAACTACAGGGAGTTCCCCAGCCAGCGCTGGGACCCACCCACCGGCGGGAGGCGCTGGGGACCTGGAGACGGGCGTGCGCTGGGCCACAGTGACTCACTCTCTTCGGGGAGACCCCGTCCATTGCCCTCTTCAGCCTCGGGGGCCAGAGCGCGGCTAGAGGAGCAGCGAGATAGCCATGTCTGAGCCCGAGGTCGCAGCCGACGACCTGGACGCCTTCATCGACGACCTGGACTACCTCCCGGGCCACTTCCACCTGGAGATGCAGCTGAACTTCGAGCCGCGTTCGCCGGCCCCGCTGCGCGCCCGGGATCTGAAACTGCAGCGGGAGGCCGTGCAGCAGGAGCTCGAGCTGGCGGCCGTCCCGCAGCGGTCGGCCGTGTGTCACCTGCTGGGTGCGTTCGCCTTCTATCTGGAGGAGCTGGACGAAGCCCGGGAGCGCTTTCTCCAGGTGGTCCGCGAGGACCCGGGCAACCTCAATGCCTGGGCCAATCTGGCACATGTGTACGAGCACCTGGGCCAGGAGGAAGAGGAGGAGGCTTGTGCCGCGCGACTGGCTGGTCTCATGGGCCTGGCGGCGGACCCGGAGGCACCCGCGGACCCCCAGCTCCGCGCTGCACGCTGCCTGGCGGAGCAGGGCTACGCGCACGGCTTCGACGTGGGCTGCGCCAGCCTGAAAGAACGCGCACGGGTACTGGCAGCTGGCATCGCGCTCTATGACAAGGCTCTGGGCTACGGGCAGCAGGTGGGTGACACCCCCTCCTTCGGCTGGAAGGGCTGTGGTCATGGTCCTTTGGTCTGTAGGGTTGCCCTCTGCCCCAAAGTCAACCTCGACCCTGGCCTTTGGCCTGTGGAATACCTTTCCAATGTGCATCCCCCATTTCCGTCCCAGACTAAATCCAAAGCTTTGCTTTTTGGGCTAGGGAGAAGACCTTAGCAAGGCTCCTGGTCTAAGTCCCTCCTAAACACCACAAACCCTACCTGGCCAATCCAACCCTCTCCCTTGCTCCTTCCAGCAAGTACCTGTCCCGGTGCCTGTGCACACCCACCTAATTAAAGGCACAGCCAGACAGCCTGCCAGAAACTCAGGCATTCCTGCCTCTTCTCTGCCACCTGCACATCCATCCATTCAGACCCCAAAGCTTGTCCACTCCACCTCCTGTACCTCTAAGGTCCACCCACTCCTCCCCAGCTGCCCTCRGCCAGTCCAGCCTCCATAATTGCCCACCTGGACCTGTGTAGCTGCCTTCCTCCTCTGCGGGGTTCTGCCCTCCAGCTTGACCCTTCTCCTCTATGCTGCCAGGGTAGTGTTGCTCCACCTTGCTGGCCAAGTCCCTCAGCCCACTCCCCGCTGGCGGGCAAAAGAATCCTAGGCTCTTGAGTGGGCTTTGCTACCCCCCACCATTCCCCTCTGTCCTTCCTCTGCAAGTCAGGCTTTTGCCACATTTTACTTCCCTTCACTCCCCTCTAGGGAACGACTCACCTTGTTTTCTCAGCCCCTTCCCTGGGTGCTCTTCTGCTCCACCTCTCCAGTCTTGGGTTTGTCTCTAGAAAGCCTCTGCTGGCTCCCCAGGCAGGGTCAGAATCTCCCCTGGGCTCCCATAGCACTCCCCCTACTGTCTGTTTACAAGTCTGCCTCTCTGACTCAATCTTGAGGGCTTTGAAAGAGGGAACAACATCCATCTGGTTTACTACTGTAAACCCAGTAACTGGAACATGGTAGCATTTGATAAGCATATCTTCAGTGGATGGATGTACAGCATACGGCCTGCTACTGAATACATACTAGGAATTCTAGCCATCTACTGCTGAAAAAAAATACCTACCAAAYTTAGCAGCTTAAAGCAATAAGATTTTATTCTCACACAGTTTGGGTGGGGTTGTCAGCTATCTAGGCCTGGCTTAGCTCAGGACCCTTAGGCTGTGATCTCATCCGAAGTCTTGCCGGACTGGGGGACCATTTGCTACTAAGCTAGCTCACATGATTGTGAGTAGGATTTAGTTCTTCATTGGTTACTGGCTGACATCCATGGCCTTTGTCATATTCTGTTCTTTAGAAGCTGGTCAGTAGGTCTATCCCACATTCACAGGAGGGGATTACAGAAGGTCATGAACCCCAGGAGGTGGGGATCTATGGGGGCCATCTCAGAAGCTGCCTGCCACATGAAGCATCAGATGATGGATAAATGGTATGGAGGGCATTATCCTCTTTTAGGAAAGAGGCCATGCTAGTTCAGAGGGGTACCATGACTTTTCCATGAAGGCCAGTATAGTTTTAAGTTTGTGATACTTAAATAATTAGGCCAGGCATGGTGGTGCATGCCTGTAATTCCWGCAGCTCAGGAAGCTGAGGCAGGAGGATCTCGAGTTCAAAGCCAACTTCAGCAATTTAAGTAATGACAAATTTTCACACATGGGTAGCACAGCTCAATTCACAAAACCTCTGAACATCCCCCCACAAGTGCCTTTTTCTCCAAAGTTCACAGCTTTTCTAAGGGGAAATGTGGCTGTTAACATTTGCAGAGAGTACAGGTTGGAGGACAGGGACTTGATTTAAGGACAGCAGTGCAGGAAGGAGCCTCAGAGAGGAGACTACAGGTCAGACAGTCCAGGTTCAAATCCCAGCTCCCCCATGCTGACACCTCTAACCTGTGCTTAACATCTCTAAGGTCCTTTCCCTCTCTGAGATGGGGATAACGATGGTATGTCTGCCAAAGCTTTCTCATCAGTAATATGGAGGTACTTCTCATTTGGTTGATGTCATAATTAAGAGTTTCTATTTGTAAAGCTCCAAGAGGGAGCCTGTGCAGAAATGGGCAGGGTCACAGGCGACCCATCCATCTCCCCAGCTAGGAAGCCTCCCCTGGCCTGAGCTGGATGTTGATATGACCATCACCTAGGGCCAGTGAGGACCCATGTCTCCAGTTTCACACTGTAGGTGCTGAGTGTGGTTGTTGCTGCAGGTCACAGCAGTGGAGCAGGCTCTGAAGAGCTCTGGTCTCGGAGCCAACAGGCTCCCCTCTTAGCCACCGCACTACCCACAGAGAAGACCTCTCTGCACTGTGTTTTCCCCATCTGCAAAATGGGTGCAGAAAGTGGGGGACCATATGGACCCTGAGCTCCATTTCTGCTCTCTGGAGGTACTCAGTGTGGGGAGGTTTCCTGGAGGAGGTGAGTGGCAAGGCAAAGATTTAGGAATAGTGAGCAAAGGCCAGCTGCCCCCCACCCCTGCATAGTCAGCACAGCCACAGTAGGAACCKCCCAGTGAGTGAACACCCAGAGGGAGTGGGAAGCAGGGCACCCAGCGCCCCAGGGAGGGAGCCGTTGCTTCTGGAGGTGTGGCTGCCAGGCTCTGGGCTGCATTCCTGGGCCTGGCCCAGCGACTGCTCCTCAGTTCTGCAGAAAGCAGCTGTGACCAGGAGAGAGTTGGGGATGCAAAGCCCCCATTTGTCCTCTGAGGAGTACACAAGATCACACCTATAAAAATCATCACAGTCAGGACAAGGAGGGTGATTTGGGCAGTCAAGAGGCTCAGGAGCATCCATCTCTGTTATTATTTTCTTGTGTGGCTTTGGACAAGTCACTTGTCATCTCTAGTCTCAGGGTCTACTTCTCAAGCATTTGTCAGTAGTGATCTCAGCCAAATGATGAAGTGAAAGTGCCCATAAGTAATTYTGGGGACATCCAAGAGGCATTTCTTGAACTTCTTTACATTTGTTGAGCACCTRGTATGTGCCAGACCCTGTCTTTTAAGAAGTTCTTGCTGTGAAGAAGCTTCTGGACAAAAGGTGAAGGAAGCATGCATTCCTTCATGAGCTTGTCTTACCTGAGCCCTTCCTGGGGAAACAGAAACCAAAGGGGCAAATCAGMGATGTGTCCGCAACTGGCTGAGGTCACATGCCTGTGTCATGTGACAGTCATCTCTTAAGTACTATACAACCGAGATGGCACTTTCTGAACCAAAAATGGGGCCCCAGAGGCTGACGATGAAAATGCATTTCAGGGACATGGGGACAAAAGTGTTGGCATCAGCAGTCCCTGTGGATGGAGTGGCAGTGAGGGACTGCAGACAATGAATCCTCTTCTGGAGCAAAAGAGACTGAAGGGAAGCTTCTGAAAGAGACAAGTGCACTGGCCCCCAGGAGGCCCTAGTGTGTGCAGAGGCAGGAGGGCTTGGCCAGGAGCAGGGRAGGAGGCCTGGAAGAAGGCAGTGCAGGCCTGCACAGGAAGAGCACACAGCAGCTCTGCAGAGCAGCTGGCGTGGTCTCCCTAAGTGAAGCAGGATCCCGCCTTCCTCAGCCCCCATTTCCTCTTACGGAAGTCCAAGGAATTGGACCCTGCTTCATAGCAATTATAATCTACTTGAGGTTCCCTAAACATCCGGCGCTGGCTGTCATCTCCCTCTGCCTAGAAAGAAAACTCAGTTCAAATGTCACCACCTCCTCCTGAACACCTTCTGAGTCCTTGAGTTGAGTCCCTACATGAAYCCTGGGGTCCCCATTACAGACATAGGAACTGAGGCACATTAGTTGGCTCCCCCCCCACACCTGCCTTCAAAGATTTGCTCTTTTGAAAGAGGTCAAAGAAATGGGGATGGGATGAAGAGATCAGGGGACACCTCTCGCACGTGGCCTCCAGGAAACCCAAGGCAGATCAGTGTCAGAGAGAAGAGGTGGGTAGGTTGCCATGGGTGAGGGAGGCCAGGGAGGATGAAGCAGGAGGTGGAGTCAGCGTCAGGGCTGTTAGAGCAAGAGTTCTGCACTTGGACAGACCAGGTTAAAATTCTGCCTCTGTCACCAGGTGGCTACAGGCAGGTCACCTCACTTCTTGAGGATTTTTTTCTCATCTGCAAAATGGGGTTGTAATATGGATCCTCCCAAGGCTGCTGGGAGGATCGAGGGAATGTGAAGGTACCAGGCAGGTGGGGGTAGGAGCACACCTGGTTCCACCCACCCCCTGGGCCCTATGCTTCACTTTGCCATTGCTCTTTAGCAGGGTCATTGCCAGCCTCTGGCTTATCTTCAGGTGAGTTTTGTCTTGTCCCCTGGAAGGTGAGCCCTCAGTCTTGGGCCTCTCTCCGTTGCCCGMGCCCCCACACCCAGGAGCAGTTTGRACCATTGTTAATGTAATTTAGTTGAATAACTCAATTCTAAGTCTTAAAGACCTCTACGATTTTTAAATAAAAGATAGTTTGAACTACTTCCCCTCAACAACAACAACAAAAACACATGTCCCAAGCCAGTTTAGTTATTGGATTTTCCATCCCCCTTTTCCTAGAATATTGGGGACTTAACCACATGTGTGCATGCACACACACACCTGCATGCAGGTCTCTCGCCCCTGCTTCTATCCCAGGGCAGGTCCTCAGTAATGACAAGGATGGTCCCAGGGCCATGCCTGTGTGCTGGACATCGTGGCCCCTTTAATTTGTATTCAGACCTCCCAGACTCCCTGCCATCTGGGCCTGGGGATCCCCTACCCACAGAGGTGCAGTGACTTGCTCAGGTTGACCCAGCCCCACCCCCACACTGTCCAGATTTCACTCAGCAGCCAGGCAGGAGAGGAGGGAGGTGGCCTTGCAAGGTGAGTGCACTCAGCACTCACACACGAGGGTGTGGGCCTTGCAAGGTGAGCACACTCAGCACTGTGGGGACTGGCAAGACTTGAGAGTATCCTGGGTTAGCAACCTCAGGGTCCCTGGTTTGTGTATATTTGTCACCACAAGTGCACACGCATGCACACACA